GAGCCATGGTACTCAGAGAGCTCTTGGGGTACTCAGAGAGCTCTTGGGGTGTATGCCTATGTCATGTTTCTTAGAAGAAAAGCCATATGGGCTGCCTCATCACACCCTCAGCGAGCCCACTCAAGTCAACTGGAGTTTGGCAATTATTTGTTAAAGAAGAGGTACTTTGAAATGCTGCTACCAGTTTCCCAAATCTCAATTTGTGTGGTGCAGGAGACTCTCACTTTGTTCACTCCAAATGCAAGGAAGGATCTCAGCTGCATCCAAAGCAGAGAAAAGATCGGAGCAAGAAGACAGGAGCTGTTTATCGTCTTAGTCCCTACAGAGAGGAGCAAAATTTATTTTCTCAGCAATTTGCGGTTATGCCAGCCTTTCCAGCCACATGGCAAAACATGTCCCCCCATTGTTTGCATGGACAACAGCTGAGACTGTGTAACTTGGCAAAGCCTCATGCGCTTACGTTCACCAGTCAGTTATCTTAGCCATAAATCAAAAGGTTGGGGGAAGCTGTAAAACGAGACCTTCCTATCCCAAAGGCAGCCCCGTTTTTTGCTATCTAGTGCCTCCCATAAGGCAATTCCTTTTCATACGATGCAACAGCCTACCCGTGTTGGTGGGGAGTGCAGGGGTATCACATGCACTTCTAACAACTTATCAGATGAAGGAAAAAAAGAATATATTGAGACTTGGCATTCACTGGAGGCAGGAGTTAAGACATTAACGTTTTAAGTCAATGTGGAAGAAGACAGCAGACATGAGAAACAGCCTGGGAAGAGGGCACTGCAACATGACAAGCTGAGAGCTGGCAAGGGGGACCCCAGCTGTGGTCAGCTCATGGAAAACGGTTGCCAGATTTTGCTGCTTGCTACCACCTTGATGCTTACAACAAATACTGAGGCTACGGTAGAGTGACTGTCACATCACTGCTGCCTCTCACAGCCTGCACGCTGGCTGTCAGGCAGAGGGAAGAGAGACTTAGGGACTCACCTGTGCTCTAATCCCTAATACTTACAACCCACATGCCACTTCATAGCACCTCTTCCTTGACATCTCAACAGTAATCCCTGGCATTTACACGCTAAGTTTCAGCTATCAAGCTCAAAGGAGAGCAGAGTGTGTCATCCTCCGTTGGCACACAGCCAAGAAGAGCCAAAAATCTTGTCTGAAGCTGCATGCCACCACGAGAAACCAGGTCCCACATCCTCTTCCTCCACCTGCACAGTCACCAAGCAATGCAGCAGCTCCCCACCTTGGTCTGGCAGGCTATTCTTACGGGTAGAGATGTCAGCCTCCCTGGCTACGCATCCCTAGCACAAACCCTCCCTCTGTGCCTGCTACTTACACGGTCTGCTCCACCTGTCAAGCTATCTCCTTGGTGCAGCACTTCAGCAACGTGCTGGCACTTGCCAAAGCTGCGCAGAGCCTGCTGGCAGAGCCTGTGCTGTCAGGAGGTGTTTGCCTCCCTCGCCTGAGGTTAGAGGAACCCCCACCACAGCATCTGACATCTGGTGGGACGCAGCTGCCCATCACTCGCAAACATGAGTTACAGGAGGACAGGAGAAAGAACAGCAATGCTGAGCACAGCTCGTCAGGCAGGGAAGCTGAAATGCCTGGATGTGGTGTGGGTGACATGTTCATGCTACTGTTACCTAAACCTTCCAGCCTCAGGGATGGGTTTTTCCTGTCCTGTTTTTTTTTTTTTTTTAAATCCAAACTGGTGGACCCTTTGGGCTGGAGTTTTTCTTTCACGAGACATTTGCATGATACCTGGCACGGTGAGGCTCTGCGCGTTCAGCTGAGCTCCGGGTGTGAGACCAGGAGCACCAATAGGTTTCTCAGAAACATATAAGGAAACCTCAGCTGTGTTTGGCTAAACTGTGAATAGACCTCAGACAAACCCAAGAATTGCTAAGTATGTCTTCAAACTAAACTTTGCTCCTTCCTTTCCATCTCTTTTAAAATGCTACTACTACTAAAACACATTGTAAGCAAAGAGGAGACATAAGATAGTGCAGCTGGTGCGGCATTGATACTCTATGTGAAAACAGAGATACAAGCACACAGCAATAACAAAAATTAAAAAGAGCTCAAAGCTCTTTTGATGTATTTCCTGAAAGTTCACCTTTAAATCTCTTTCTCTAACAGGACTTGAGAACAACTGAAAATATTACACTCTATTTGAAGTTTAAAACGATCTGCAGTGCAGACATTCGTGCTTGTAGCCATTCATCTCCCATAGCATAAAAAAATCACATCACTTTCACCTTTGCGCCTCTCGAATGATGACTAGCTCGATCCCCTCTTCCTGTGGGTTACCTCCTTCAGTGACAGTACATCTCCTGTCCAAAGATGAACTAGGACTGACACGTTGCCTACGCATGCCAAGACAGCGGGCAACAACAGCTTCTCTCATTCCTTGCCCCCAGCATGGTGCAGACCACAGCCCTGCTGCCCTCACAGCACTGGAGTACTTTTTATCCTCCTTTTCCCGCCCCCTTTTTTTCTTTTTCTACTTAACTGAACACCATGAAAATCCACAAAACCACCATAAAAAGCCATTTCTTTTTCAGATATTGCATTAGCAAGGCTGATGGCTTAAGCAATTGGCTGCTTCAGCTCCGTCAGCCTACCTTCAAAACAGGCAGCAGATCTGGAGATGTATGGACTCGTGTTATTTCAGTCTCCCTAGTGCATTGTACTTTAATTGTAATTCTCTCCCTAGCCCACCCTCAACCCTCTCCTGGCTCAAGCGCTCGCCAGGGCCCACACGTCAGGAATGCAGTCGCCTCCTACGTTGCCGATGCTCTGCAGGGAGAGCAGAGCGGGAGGTGGAGTCAGCTCTTTCCATGACAGATTCACCATGTCCCTCACAGCTCTGCAAAACTTAACTTCCCTGGAAGGGTTTCAAGATTTGACTCATGTCCAGCTCTTCTATTTTAATCATTCCCTCTTACATCATTCTCGGAGGCCCACGGTGTCACATGCAAACTCTCCCAGCCCCCTGCTCCTCCTCTGCCGAGACCTTAATCTGTTGCTGTCTCTCATCCCAAACAGAAAAAGGTAGAGAAATGTATTTCATATCAACTCCTTCCCTACTCTCCAGAGCATTTACCAGCTTTGGATGGCAGCTAACGAGAGCTTTCAAGCGCTCTCCATTGCAAGGACAACACTGAAATAGAACAGGAACAGTAGCCATGCCAGAAAACCTAAGGGCACGGGGATGCGAGAGACCGGAAAAATCACAGCAGGCTCACTCACACTGCGAATCAGCTGGGAGATGGCACAGGCCAGGAGATAAGTGTTGGGAAGGGACCAGGTCAGCTGGTTCCTACTTTCCGTTCTCCCAGTGACTTCCTGAATAACTCTGGATGCCACTTTGTCTTTTTGTTCACGCTCAGAAATACAAATCGTCAGCATTGGTCCATTCAAGATTTCTTATTAAACCCGATATCATGAAACGGGGACGGAGCCAAAACTCTCTGAAAGAGTCGAGTAGAACAGGGGTGCTCATGCGCAGCTGTTTAATCCCTTCTCTCGATCCCAGCCTAAATGCCTCCATGGTTGAGAGAATCCCCACTGATCTCCGGGAAGCCCCTTGCTTGTAACAGTGACCACCAGAAAAAATCTCTTGCCTGGAAGATTACAAATGCTAGCCAAACAACAGCTGGAACGCTTGGAGCCTCCAAGCTCCATGCTCTGTGCAGAAACAAGGCAGAGAGCAGAAACCCTGTACCTAACAACAGTTGCTTTGTTTGTTTTACTCTGGCCAGAGTCATCGTTACTTTGACCTACTCTGCAATTATTCATCATAGAGGTTTCTGGTGCAACCAGAGGCTTGCAAAACTGTTAAGGTCTAGTAGAGATTTCCACTAACTCCCCACCTTGGCAAAAAACCACCCTAAACTTCTTGACCTCCTACCATGCCAGGGAGAGAAGAGTAGCCAGGCGGGATGAATGCGGTGCTGTTGGGACGTTTGTGCAGCTTTTACTGTGAGAACACCAGCAAGTGGTAGGCGTGGGACTCCTGGAAAGCACACGCTCGCATGCAAGGGTGACAAGGGGAAAGCACTTGATTTTTCCGTGTGTGGGTGAGTGGACATTTTACAAGGAGCTTGTCAGTGTAATGATGTCAGGAGATCGAGAGAAACTCAGGCTAACATGAAGGACAAGGAGCAAAGGCAATGAGAAACACCAGAGCATGAATGTGCTTGATCTCTCCACTGATTCCTGGAGCAAAATACTCTATATATTTTGCTAAAGGAAGGATGAAGAATTGCTTAGAATAAGCCTGACATGGGAAAGGCTTTGCTCTCTGTCCTTTCTCTGTTCCCTCTACTCATTTCAGTACTTTTCCCACCTGCTTTTATTTTGGTTTTTGCTACAGTCAGCATGAACCCGCTTCTTCTATGGAGCTCTCACCATTTCCATCTTGCTTTCAAAACTCCACCTGCAAACATCTCTTCCTCCTGTCCGAGCTCTCAGATTTACCTGGTCTCCTTGCTCCTCGAACATGTCTTCATCTAATCTATTACTGGTTTAACCCTGCACCACCACCAAGGGCAAAAACATTTCTATACAAAAGTGCACTTGCATTATACAAATGAGGGTGGTACAAGGGTTGGAGAGAATCACAGCAAAAAGAGGGAAATGTGATGGGACGGGAGGGAGCACAGAGCAGTAGATGTAACAGAGCAAGCACCGAAACCTGGGATGCTGCAGTCGTGTGGGTAATTTAAAAGTGCATTCAGGGGAAAGGCTGGTTGGAGGGAAGACAGAGGCAGAAAAGAATCTGAGAAGTGGAAGTTCTAAGGGAGCATGGAGACAGTGCAAAAAAGAACAAAAATGTCTCTGAAGTGGACAGAGAATGGAAGAAAGGAAGAGCACAATATTTGTATCTTCAGTTTTCCTCCTTTTTGAGAAAACAGACACGGAAAGGTTTATTTGATCTCCCCATTTAGTTCCCATCAGAAGTTATGAAGAGACCCAGCCAAAAGCCAGATGTTTTGTTTCCAGTTTCATTCAACAAAGTCTGCATAATAGACGAGGAAAAACTTTACCGGCCTACCCATCTTGCCCCTCTTCCCAGGAACTCCAGGGATCCCCTGCAAGGAAAACACAGAGAAAAAAAAAAAATAGGTCTGGTTGAGAAAGCAAACAGTCAACTAACAATACAAAATAAAACTAGAGGGGAAAGGGGAATGCAAAACAGGCTAATGACTGCAGCATTGTTCAGGAATCAAAATGTCAGCTACTTGCAGTCAGCTGCGAGAGTGGAAGACAATTAACCTTCACCCACTAACGAGGGCTCTCCCTGAGGACACGCAGGCAGCATCCACACCCAGGGCAACAGGCTGAGGCTGTGCTTAGCAGGAGCAGTCATTAAGCTACTGGTCTGGAACCGAACGAAGGCCACCGCCAAGGCACTCGCTGGAGAACTTCTGTTTATGTTTTTTATTTAGTTATACAAGCATTAAATCAGCAACTCCAGAGTGCAGGGTAGTCCCCTTCCAGGCAGGCACACACACACTCACTCCCACATGCTCCTGGGGCTTCTCTTGTTTCTGGAGCTTGCATTTGAGGGAGAAAAAGCTGGAATCGAACAGTCTTCATCTTACAGTGACCCTCCTCTTGCAGTGGGAAGAGGGGCTTCTTGCACACGTAGAGATGGGGTGGGTGGGGGGATGTTGGGGAGAAGAGCAAAAGAGCAAGGGTGGTCCTTCAAAGCTCTGAACACACGGGTTTAGAGAAGGCATGATGAAAAAGAGGAGGAAGGGAGGACACATGGCAACAGCAGCCACAGCTGCCCGTCCACAGGTCCCAGTCTTGACTGCCCAACTTGATGCAACTGGAAGGAAAGCTGTTGTCAGAAAGTCCCAGGCACTGTCCCTTCCAAGAGCCACCTTCCTTCCAGACACCTCCAGTTGGGACACCAAAAATGGGACACTCTGGCTGGGATGTCCCTCCTGTGGGAGGAGGGAATTTCCACATACATTTTATTACCTGCCCCATCCCGCTAAGATGAACTGGTAAAGGGAAGGAGGAAGGCAGATTTTTAAGTGAAGGGAAACACAGAGAAACTCCTCAGGAAGAAGGGATAGAGAGGGTTACAAGAGGCTCTAAAAAAATGTATTCAAGCAACACACCAAGGTTTTCTTCACAAAATACTCACTCGTTCTCCATCAGCCCCTGGTAGCCCAAACAATCCTGGGAGACCAATATATCCCTAAAAAAAAGAGGCAACAAGTAGTCAAATACATTTCTCATTAGCAACCAGTCAGTCTGTCTTTCCTGAACAGCAGAGCATCCTCCAGCGTCGGTCATTGGCAGCCGTGATGAAATAAACCTTGAGGCAAGTGTATATGCCCATGGACTGCATGGTGCTGGCTTCCACGATGTAGTCCAAGGGCACATACCCTCACACCAGGGATCATGAGGACTCCAAGCAGGGAGAAGCCAGCAAGAAGAAACCTTACCTGGGCTGGCTCTAAGCATACCTGAGGAAAGCGGAGCTTCGTTCAAGATTAGCAAGAGTGATACAGCAAAAGTAATCTGCATGCCTATGCTCCTTTACATCTCTCCGAGGGCTCTTTC